GGGGGGTCGGTGTCCCCATGGTTACTCACATGATCCCCTTGTTCTGGGCGATCGGGGTCCAGGACAGCGCAGAGAGGGTGCAGATGACCTGGGACGAAGACGGCCTGCTCACAGCCCCTCCCACACCCAGGCCAGGGCGCAGCCTCAGGAGGAGGCCCACCCTGAGGTGGACCTGAGGCCCCAGCTCACCTTTCCAAAATCCTGCACATCAAAGAGGTCGAAGGGCTCAAAGAGCTCGCTGCGCTTGAGGCCGAACTTCTCTCCACAGGTGGACAGGAAGGTCCGGATGTTCTTGAGGCACAGGAACTGCGGGGACAGAAACGAGGGGGCGTGGGCAACGAGGGGCAGAGAGAAGCTGGCCGCTGGGCAGCCCGGCCTGGGGACCTCCACAGAGGGAAAGGGGGAGGTGTCCGCTGCCTCCTGAGAAAGACCAAGACCCTCCTGAAGCCATCTACCCTCCTGGGCCCCCCCTGTTACAATTTACAGAACATGAAATTGATCCCTAACACACGAGCAGAGTGTAGTGTCGGCCGTAACAGGACTGTCTGTCCACAAAAAGAAATGACACGTCGGCATGCTAACGCGTGGGCAAACCCTGGGACCCTCCGTGAGACCAAAGCCCCAGGCCACGTATGGGCTGATGCATTCCACAGGCGCGGAACCCCCTGAACGAGTCTGATTCGTGAGTCAACACACTCTTGGCCTTTTCAAGGCCAGTTTGGGTCAGGTTACCGAGGCTCCAGTCTGAAGGACATTAACTAACGCAGAAGCCAAGCACATAGACATGGCCCTGGTTTCCCCAGCCTGGCTCTAATGAGAAAAGAAAGCACTGTACCCAACCTGTCAGGCCCTCCCTGGCGCGCAGACTGGTTCTCTCCCTCAGCCCCCGATACTGTCCCCGAGCCAGTGTGAACCAAAACCATACAGTAGGTGATCCACTAACAGGGAGTGTCCAGAAAGGGCAAGTCCATGCCAGGGAATATTATGTGGCCACAAAAAGGAATGAAGTCCTGTTCCCCCGCCGTCTCCTGGGTGGATCTTGAAGACAGCTCAGGAAAAGAAGGCAGTCACAAAATACCCCGCCCTGTGGGATTCCATTCAGAGGGAACGTCCCGAACAGTTCTGGAGACTGGGCGTCCAAGAACAAGGTGCAGGCAGGCGTGGTTTCTGTGATGTTCTGGAGGCGTGGTGTCCCCCAGAGCTCACGCGAAACAGTGCCAGAATGTTCAGGGGTGGAATGGTTAGATCATGAGAGCTGCGACCTAATCCCCTTGAGTGGATTAACTGGGTGTCACTGTAGACCGTGGGGGTGCGGCAGAGGAAGTCGTCCCTGGGGGTGTGCCCTTGAGGTTGAAGTTTTGCCCTGGTGGCTGGTGCTGTCTCTGCTCCTGGCTGCCGTGTCCTGAGCTGCTTCTGTCCTGCTGCGCTGCCTCGCCTTGGGCCCAGGCTGAGGGGTTGGCCAGCCTTGGACTGAGCCTCTGAGCCAGTGTTAACTGTTCCTCCTCCACATTGCTCTTGTCAGGTCTTTTGGCCACAGCAATGAAAAACAATCTGACTGGTCATTTTCTTCTGGGCCTTTGTCCTGGGTTTTTTGGACACATTTCCCTGGGTCTGCAGTGCTTCTCCCTCTCTCTGGGCCCTGGTCTCTTCTTTGCTATCGTGTTGGACTGGGACCCACCTTAATGACCTCATTTTTACTTCATTGCTCTGTAAAGATCCTAGCTCCAAATGTGTTCCAAAGTCCAGGCCTGAGGACTTCAGTGTGTGAATTTCAATCCAATCCACCGCACGGGGGGAACTGCATTCTAAACAGAGGGCACAGCTGGGCAAAGGCCCTGAGGCAGACCAATCCTAGGGTGTTGGTGCAGCAGCGCGGAGCCCGTGTGGCGGGAACACAGGAGGAGGGGGTGGAGCGTGTGTTATGAAAGAATTACCTGTCATTTAAACCTCTGTGTCTGTTACCATTGGACCTTAAGTGTCCCCAAAGGCCCTGAGGCTACAGGCTTGTTCACCTAGCCACCGAGGACAACCTCAGAGACGGTTCCCCTCCCAGGTGGTCATCCCAGGTCTTCTCTCCCAGGGCTGGAAGGCTGACCGTGGCGCCTCAATGTGGCCGCCCCAGGAACTGCATCGCCCCCCCCCCCCGCCCCCCAAGGTGCACAGGTCCCCAGGTCCCCGCTCCAAGGCCACCTCCTCCATGAGGCCTCCTCCCACCACCTACTGGAAACCACACCCCACACTCGGCATCTTCTGCTTAGTCTGCTGTCCCTGACCGTCCACCTCCCCAAGTGAGATGCCAGCCTGAGGAGGCCGAGCCACGGTTTCCCCCATGGTGACATCCAGCACCTGCAGCAGGGTCCCGCAGGTAGCAAACAGGACACGTTTGACAAGTGGGCAGAGGTGGCGGCCTGGGAATCTGTCCCTCAGCAGTGAGAGAGGTATGCCTCACTCTGCTTCACGGTGGCGCATGTTTGACAAATGGAAGGACCACGGGAATCTTACCGAGGAGCCAGTTTATAAAGACCCCTCTTCCAACAATTCTCATGACACTGCAGATTTCGTCATGATTCTTCTATCTGTTGTGGGGACATACAAGCCGTGACTTGTGGCATTAGCCATGTATACACTCTGGGGTGCCTGTAACTGCACCCAGACAAGGCGGCAGACAATCCACACAATCTAACCGCACCACAGGCCCCAGGTCCCCGCGTGTCCCTCTCCTTAACTCAGGTGATAAAGCAGCATACGGATTCGAGAGACTGATTCTAATTTCGAAAAAGCTTCTACTGCACACAAAACATTCCCAGGCGGTATCCCGCACCCCAGGGAGAGGTTCCAGGAAAGGAGGAGCCCGTCCACACAGCCCAGGCCACCACCGGGTCTGGCTTTAAGAAACTGCCCCAGCCCGCGACATTCAGCAACTCCAGTCTGCAGCCACCAACGCGAGACAGGACCTTGCAACAGCAAACACACTGCAACTTGGAAAGCTCAGGTCATCGCTGCCGTTTTTACCAGTAATTTTATTTTTTAATTAAGGGACAGCAATGTTATTTTGGACATAATGCTACTGCACACTCGATAGGCTACAGGATGTGTAAACACATCGTATGTGACTGAGAAACCCAAAGCTTCCTGTAACTCCCTTCCTCGCGGGGGGTCTGGAACCTAACCTGCAAGCAAGCGCCTGACGTCCTGAGCCTCCCCTGCAGCCCGACCGCATGATAATGTTTCTTGGAAGCATCACTGGGGGTGAGCTGGGCACGGCCAGCTGAGTTGGCAGCCCTTTCCACCGACAGGAAGCAAGCTGAGATGGGGAGGGACATGCCCATAGCTGCTGACAGTGAGAATGAGTCTGTAGGGAGCCACAGGGCAGGGCCAAGCCGGTGGACTCTGGAGCCCACCTCTCGCCCCCAGCTGCCTCTCCTTGCCACCCGTGCAGCCGGAGCCACCCGTAAGCACCCGCGTGGCTCCGTTTCCTGCACTCTGCAAAAGTAAGGCAGAACCTCCCAACCCTGAAAGGCATTCTTCTTCTCATTTCTCGAGTAATGACACTGAGGCAGGGACTCAGCGGGGACACAACTCAGCCCGTGCTCAACCTGGACGCCTCCACTGCGCACGCGAACAGATTCCATACAGTCTCCATTGTGTAGTGGCTTCTTGGTATCCAGGACCCCCACAGACGCCAAAACCAAGGATGCTTGAGTCCCTAATGTAAAATGGCATGGTGTTTGCACAGGACCTCTGCGTATCTTCCCGTAGACTTTAAATCATCCCTAAATGAAGTAGGATACCTAACAATGTAAATGTCATTTAAAAACAGTTGTTGTGTTGCATTGTTTAGGGAACGATGACAAGAGAAACATCTATACATGCTCAGTGCAGACCCAATTTTGTCCACATATTTTTAAAATCCGAGGTTGGTTGAATCAGAGGAGGCAGCACCCACAGGTGTCACCATCTCCCATATTTCCACCTTCCGATGGTATCTTCTTAATTGTAGCCACGTTCATCTGAAGCACTACATTTGGAACTGGACTCTAGATTTGGTTTAACAGAAATGAAGTGTATCTCAGAAGAGATATCTGCCAAGGTTGGTGGCATGTCTGAAACCCCAGCTACTTGGGAGGCTGAGGGAGGAGGATCACAAGTTCAAGGCCAACCTGGGAAACTTATCAAGAGCCTGTCTGAAAAATAAAAAGGGATTGGGTATGCAATTCAATGGCAGAACCTCCTAGGTTCAGTCCTCAGTACTGCAAGGGA